TCCAGCAACCCTCAGCTTGTTCTCTGTATTTAAGAGTCTCTTATCGTTTGCTTCCCTCTGTGTTTTTATCTTATTTTTCCTTCCCTTCCCGGATGTTCATCTATTATGTTTCTCAAATTCCACATATGAGTGAAAGCATAGGATATCTGTCTTTCTCTGACTGACTTATTTCACTTAGCATAATACCCTCCGGTTCTGTCCACATTGTGGCAAATGGCAAGATTTCATTCATTTTCATTGCCAAGTAGTGTTCCATTGTATATGTACACCACAGAGTATGTTAAATTTGAGGTGCCAAGCAGACGTCCAAATGAAGATATGAAGGTGACAATTGAATATCTGAGACTGGAGTTCAGAGAAGAATTCCAAGCTGAAGACACAGATTTAGAAATCATCGGCAGAGAGGTACTATTTAAAGCCATGGACAGGATGAGAGCACCAAGACCGTGGCAGAAAAGAAAATATGTCCAAACATTGCACCTTGAGGCCTTGTCACTTTAATAGGTTGGAGAGATGAGAAGGAACCAGCAAAGGAAGTCAGAAGACCAGCCTGTGATTTAGGATGGAGACCAGGTAAGTGATAGCTCAGGGGAAAAGTGCGCCAACAAAGAAGGAATGCTTGCAGTGTTAAAATCTGCTGATGGGTCAAGATGAGGATAAATAACGAATTATTGGACTCAGCAACACTGGAGGTCATCGGAAGGAACATTTTCTGTAGGGCGGTAGGGCGGCCGGATTGGAGCAGATGTAACAGAGAATAGGAGGAACAGAATTAGAAACAAAGGTACCTACGCTTAAGGTCTTTTGCTATGTAAAGGGGAGCCAAAAAAATAGGGAAGTAGCTGGATAGAGAATAGGATGAGATTTTGTCTCTTATCAAGGAGAAAGAACACACATACTATTGGGAATGGCACGGTAGAGAACAGGAAACTGATGATGCATGGGGAAAAGGAAGAAGAAAAGCTGGAGCTAAGTTCTTAGGTAAGCAAGAGGGGGAGGGGGGTTGGCATCTGGGAGGCACATGGGGTTGGCCATGGAGAGTAGCCAAAATAATATATCCACAGAAACAGAAAAAGCAGAGTGTATGGACACTGATGCTGGCAGGTAGATAAATGAAGTGGAGCCTTGTAGAATTTCTTTTTCTTTTCTTTTTTTTTTTTTTTTTTTTTTAATCTGTGGTTTTGTGAACTAGGAAAGAAGGTCATCAACTGACAGTGAGGATGGGGCAGGGGTTTTAGGGTTTCCAGAAGGGATAAAAACGTGCAACGATCATCTGAAAGATGGGGGAGGAGTGAACGGCCTAGAAAAATGTAAAAAAGATTGCTGGACACCATTAAGAGCTCAATGAGGTTAATGATAGTTGAAGCTGGTAAAAAATAAAGATTTGCTGCATATCTCCTGTGCTCCTTTCTTTTTGTTCCCTAGTCCAATGATAGGGACTCCATATCATCCTAAATCCATTCGCTCCTTCCAAGGAGCGAACATGCCTGGGCTGTTTTCCCCAGCTCCCTTGCAGTTAAATGTGACTAAACGCTCTCCAGTGGGATGTGAACAAGAGCAAAGACTACCAAGACTGCCAAGGCTTATCAGACTGGAAAAGCTACCGTCTCGTGTTGCCCTTCCCTTCCCACACACGCTGCAACCTGTTCCTGAGGTGACCCAGGATCAACCGCACAATTTGGGCTCCAGAGAAACTCAGTGGCAGGAACATGGGTCCCTGACTGACCGCGTGGAGCGGAGTGAGTTGCCAACCTGGGAAACCCACCCTGACTATTACATGAGGGAGAAGTACGCTCCTATCTCATCTGAGCCATTGCACGTGGGGCCTCTGACCGGGAATCTCAATCAGCAGACTCCCCAGGTGGCTCATCCTCACACTCAGTTGAAGCCAGGGCTAGAAAGATATAAATTTGCACAAGGTCAGTTTGAACAGTATCAGGTTTTTTTAATTTGATTTTTGCTTTGGCGGCGGTGGCGGGGGGGCGGTGATTTCTAGGCTGGGTTAATCCTAACTTAGAATGGAGAATTTTGTAGCTTATCAATGGGGAAAGTAAGAAAAAGGCAGCAACTGTCATCACTCACACAGTGGTAGCCTGGCTTCACTTTCACCCAGGGCCCTATTCTTTTTGTTGTTGTTGAAGATTCTAGCATTTCTTGTGAAAACAACAACAAAAAAACCCACCTCTTACCTTCTTTACTTGGGGACATCTAAGAATTCTCGGGCGCACCCCTAGAGCTCAGATTTCATCAGTGTAACATGGAGTATTTTTACCAGGTACCCAAATGCCTGACTCAGAGGCTTGTATATACCTTTGAAAAACTCTGCCTAAGAGATTGCCTGAGTAGACTTAAGAAACTTACTGTTATCGATTTTAAGTTTACTTAACACAGTGTTTGAAAGAAACCATTTACTCCGCAAATTCTCACATTCCGAGAAAATATTAGTGCCAATCTGATACTAACAATGGCATAAATAGTAAAACAAAACAAAACAAAACAAAAACAAAAACCACTTTACCTTAGCTTGGATTTCCATTTTCAGAATTGATCCAATAATTGTCAATATGTCACTAATAATAATCATGATGTACCATCCATTGACGAATTCCATTTGATCAGAAACAGAAACTTCCTTCTTGTAATGGAGGAGGAAAAAATTGACAAATTCCTTTAGGGGAAAGAGGGAGGCACAGTGAATTTCTCAGTCAATTACAATGTCCCCAGCATTCCTAGCAAACAGCAACCCCTACCTGCTGAAGCTGAAGTCCTGTAATCACAGATCGGAGGCACAGGATTAAGGAAGCCAAGCATATCAGAATAACAAAGGCATCAAAGATCATCATGTAGTGAGTGTTCTTCTGAACTGGAAGGAAAGAGCAATACCTGCTTATACTGTGGGACATTCATATGGTGACCTCTACTTTTTTTTTTCTTTCATTTTTAGCCTCATTTCTTTTAACTGCTGCATGGCATACCACAATATAGACGCATACTCTTTGTAAAGACACTCAGGTTGCAATCTGTTTTTTCCTGCTACAAACAATTCTTCAAGTCCTCTCTGTGCATGGGTGCAAGTGATTCTTTAGGCGAACGAATATCTAAAGGCGAAATTGTTGGGGTAAGGCATATGCATATTTCTAAGAAAGAAATTCTAAGAAATTGCCCTTCAAAAACATCTTGCCAGTTTACATACCTACACACATCTCCACGTCTTCTCCACCATTGTATATTAATTATCTTTTATTTTTGCCAATGAAAAGAGCAAATCTCATTCCCAATGACATCTTTATCAGGTATTAAATTACTGTAGGTATTCAAGTCCTTATCTTACCCTTTTGATGTTTTTGTGTGTTTTAATGAGTAAGACAAATACCTCTCATTAGTGTTTTATTAGCTATTCTTACTTGTTTTTTTCCCCCATATATTCTTGAGGATCTGATTGTTAAATTCCAATAAAAATCCTACTGGTACTTTTGCAGGGGGGTGGGGGATCGTCACATTCATAAGTTAATTTAGGGAGAATTGGCATATACATGATGTTAAATCTCTTGTCCAAAAATATAATGTGTTTCCCATTGATTCAAGTCTTTTTGTTTCCTTCAGAAGCATTTTCAAATTTTATCTGAACACTTCACACTGCTTTTTAGAGTAATTTAGATAATTCAGACATTCTTTCCACAAAGACAACAAAGAGAAAAGGTCCTGGTAAGTGTTCTTCCCATTAGTATGTAAGGAAAGTTAAAAGGCTTTCTTTTGGGGGTGCCTGGGTGGCTCAGTAGGTTGGGCATCCGACTTCGGCTCAGGTCATGATCTTGCAGTTTGTGGGTTCGAGCCCCACATCGGGCTCTGTGCTGACAGCTCAGAGCCTGGAGCCTGCTTTGAATTCTATGTCTCCCTCTCTCTCTGCTCCTCCCCCACTCATGCTGTCTCTGTCTCTCAAAAATAAAATAAAACATTAAAAAAATTAAAAAAATAAAAGGCCTTTTGGAAATTACTACTGCCATCAATAAGAGATCTTTAATTATAAGCCTTTGGTCTTTTGTCCTTAATACAGTCAGCCTTCCTGCACACCCTATTAAAACATACCTATCTGGGTATAGAATATTCACCAAGAACCCACCGTGTGGCAGTTTTTCTAGATGCTGAGGATACAAGTGGTGAACAACACAGGCCCCCGACCTTGGGGAACTTCTGTTCTACTGCCGGGAGACACGCAGGGATGTAAACAAGGTACATGAACAAAATGCTTTCAGACAGGAGTAAGTGCTGCGAAGAAAAGAAAGCACCATAGCTAACGGGTAGTGCTACGCCTCCCATAGTCCTAAGCACTTTGTAGGTATTACCTCATTTGATCCTCACGGCAACCCCAGCAAGCGGGGGTGTGATTATCCCCACTGGACAGGTGAGAAAATGAGGCACACAGAGGTCAGGGGAATTTGCCCGAGGTGATGCAGCCAGCAGGTGGCAGCACCAGGATTCAAATCTTTGCAGTCTGTCTCCAGCCTCTGTCACTCTAGGTTAGTGATGCGTGGCATCCCTTGGGCACTGTTAGGAATGCACTCTGGCCCCACCCTAGACCCGCTGAGTCAGAAACTGCATTTTCACAAGCTCTTACAGATGACACTAGAGCTCAAGAACCACGGCTCTAGAAGAAGCACACTGCTGGTATGGGTGGTGGAGGGGAGAGGCTCATTCGTACAGCATGATAGGGGCCAGGAGGTCTCAGGTGAGACCTGAGTGACAAGACTGCCCCCTACTGGTAAAAAAAAATAACAAGCACTTAGACTAGTTCGGTAATGGGGCGCCGGGGTGGCTCAGTCGGTTAAGCGTCAGACTCTTGATTTTGGCTCAGGCCATGATCTCGTGGTTCTTGAGATCAAGTCCTGCATTGGGCTCTGCACTCACAGTGCACTGTGAGTGCAGAGCCTGCTTGGGATTCTCTCTCTCACTCTCTCTCGGGCTCTCTCTCTCCATGCCCCACCCCCAGCTCGTGTGTGCTCTCTCTCTCAAAATAAACTTAAAAAAAATCTACTGAAAAATATTCAGTAATAAAACATCCCATTAATATTGGCCAAGGGGCATCTAATTGTTACTAAAATGTCTAAATCTACTTTAGAAAAGCTTAAAAACTAAGAAACAAGCATTTGAGAGAAAGCCTGTGGCAGATACTTTCATATACTCTCATGCTTCCTATTCTAAAGTTTGTGGAGAAGTATTACAATGTTTACAGATGACAAAACAACTTTGTGTTTCAAATAAACAATTTTGTCATTGAAATAAAATTGTGATTTAAGAGCCTCATATATTTGAAGTACCTAATAGTGAAAAAAATACTAGAATGAAGAAATTTCATGTCATTTTTAAAAAAATTTTTTACATTTACTTATTTTTGAGAGAGAGAAACAGAATGTGAACAGGGGAGGGGCAGAGAGAGAGAGGGAGACACAGAATCTAATGCAGGCTCCAGGCTCGGAGCTGTCAGCACAGAGCCCAATACGGGGCTCAAACCCACGAACCGCGAGATCATGACCTGAGCCGAATTCGAACATGCAACCGACTCAGCCACCCAGGTGCCCCCATATCGTTTATTCTTAATATCTCATTACTGCTTCTGACCTTTGTGACTCAACCAGTAGTTACCCCTAAAGCAATGATTTTCCAAATGTGGCATGAGTAAGGGTGACCTGTACATTCCTAGGCCCCAGCCCAGACCCGGGGACGGCCTTGCAGGGAGCTGGGGTGACTCTTTCGCTCGCCAGAATCTGAGAATCCCGGACCTAATCATTAAGTCCAACACAACATACCAAAGGGGCTAGAAAATGAGACAAATTCTTTACAGTCCATTTTCTGGTTCAGCCCCAAAATTCTCAGTGGTACTCAGTCTATAGTTGAATTCATGTCCATATTTCCAAGAATGTACCCTTTCTTCATGTAGTTTACTTTTTAACCTATATAGAAGCTAAATATAATGTGAGGGATGCTTCAGGGTCAAATCTTTCCTGATGTCTCTCTCACTGTATGACCAGGGGCACCAAGATTCACTTCTAAGCTTTAGTTTCATCATTTGCATAAACAGGGATGCTGCCTATCTCAAGGATAGTTTAAAAATATTAAAACGCTGGGATGCCTGGGTGGCTCAGTCAGTGAAGCACCCAACTTCAGTTCAGGTCATGATCTCACAGTCCATGAGTTCAAGCCCCACGTCGGGCCCTGTGCTGACAGCTCACAGCCTAGAGCCTTTTTCAGATTCTGTGTCTCCCTCTCTCTCTGCCCCTCTACTGCTCACCCTCTGTCTCTCTCTCTCAAAGATAAATACACATTTAAAAAAATAATAAAAATTAAAATATTAAAATGTAGGAGGAAGCCCTTATGTAGTAAGCACTCAATAAATATTAGGTCGGGTATATGTGATTTTTTGCTGGGGGGGTGCGTGCATTTTTTTTGTAAGAACTGGGCCAGTGAGGACACATGTAGAAGTCAGCAAAAGTCATCTCAAGTACTAATAATTTATGTCTTGCCTGGAACATCAGATACCTACAATAAGTTGATCTATTTGCAGAGAATTAGGGACTTGGCAATGTTCCAGTTGTTCCCTTTGATGCTCCACATATCCCAGTAGTTTAATAACCCTTTTATTTAATAACCATTTTGAAAACTAGTAAAAGTCGTCACTTACTTGATCCTGATACGTGCCAGTCTTTACATTCTCTGATGGAAATGTCGTTATCTAAGCTTATCTTAATCCTTCCACTGTGGGCCTTATTGTCAAATGTTATCTGTGAAAAACAGGAAAAGGGTCAAAAACATACCTATAGTTTTTGAAGCCAAGATGTCTCTATGCATTAATTAGGACACAAATCTTTCAGGGTGACAGGATGCCCACCCAGATTCTCATCCCCGTGTCAATGCTAACTCTGTTCATTTGGGAAGAGCCCTTTTTTTCTTTGTGAAATGAGAAGGTTGAACAAGGTCTTCTGTTGAGAACTTTTGGTCTCTAAAATCCTGTATTTCTAGGATAGTCTTCCAGCTCTGGACAACTTATAAAACAGGAGAACTTCTCTCTCCTTCCCACTCTAAGTACCTCAAGATGCCCTCTTGGTATGAACAAGAGCTGGTCCAAGTGAGCTTTTCCCTCCCTCCCTAGGGACTCGGCGGAGGATAGTTTATATATATATTTATTTATTCATTTTGAGAGAGAGAGAGAGAGAGAGAGTGCACGAGCAGGTGAGGGGCAGAGAGAGAGAGAGAGAGAGAGTGGATCCTAAGCAGTCTCCCCACTGCCAGTGCAGAGCCCGACGTGAGGCTTGAACTCACAAACTGCAAGATCATGACCTGAGCCAAAACCAAGTTGGACACTTAACTGACTATCCCAGGCGCCCCAAGGGATAGTTTGTTAGTGCTGTTGCAGTTCTTACAAACACAGAGGTTCATTATTTCAGGCTTGAAACATTTCGGGTGGCGCTTCTCTGATTTTCATTCTGGGCCTCATTTTCATCCTTACTCACTCTAGAACCATATGTATAAAAAAAGGATGTGGTGACAGGGAGCCGACAGCCATGTCCTGCTTCAGGGATCACCATTTCAGGACACTGGGCACCAAGTAGGACAAAGCCATGTCAGAACACCTTACCCAGTCTGTCTTCCCCTTCCGGCTCTCTCCCCTGTCCCCATGCAGGGACAGGGAAAGCAAGACAAGGAGATCAGGTGTGGGTTTTGTTTGTTTTGCTTTGCTTTTAGTGCCTCCTGTCTCAAGTCCTAAAGAAAAACCATTTTTTCAGAAGTCTGTCATTTAAATGAGTTTTACTGAAGCTTCTTCATGCGGGGTAATCAGACATTACTGCAGATGTAAGGCTTCAGATAAATTTAGTGAGTCTGATCACTCTGTTTCTCTTCATGTTGGACTGCAAGCTTCCAACAAATTAGCTAAAAATAATATCCAAAAGATACTCACTCCAGGCAGAACCCAGGCAGAAAAAGAGAGAAATCATATTAATAATCACATGTAATTAAAAAAAAATTTAATGTTTATTCATTTTTGAGAGACAGATAGAGACAGACAGTGACCGGGGGGAGGAGCAGAGAGAGGGAGACACAGAATCCAAAGCAGGCTCCAGGCTCTGAGCTGTCAGCGTAGAACCTGATGCGAGGCTCAAACTCACTGACCGTGAGATCATGACCTGAGCCAAAGTCGGACACTTAACTGACTGAGTCACCCAGATGCCCCAATCACATGTAATTTAAATGGTCTAAGCACTCCAACTAAAAGGTACAGATTATGAAGTTGGATAAAAAAACAAGAATTAATTCTATGCTGCCTAATAAGAAACCCTCTTTAAACGTAAGACAAATAGGTTAATATCAAAAGGATGGAAAAAGATATACCATGCTAACACTAATTAAAAGAAAGCCGGAGTGGTTATATCCACATCAACCAAAGTAGATTTTAAAGCAAAGAATTAATATTGAGGTAAAAATTACCACTTCATAATGATGTAAGAGTCAGTTCATCAAGTTAACACAAGAATCCTAGATGCCTGTGGACCTAATAGAGAGCCTCAAAACACCTGATGCAAGAATGCACTAAACTGCTATGAGTGAATGCTAATGCCCTGCTTTTACGTTCTAACCAAATTACAGACATAGATAGGAAAGGTTTCATAAATAGCTGTTGCATGAATCAAATATCTGTTATATACCAGATACTTAGGGAGATCCCTTACATATCTCATATATATGCAGTATACTAGATAGATAGGTACATAGATACATAGATACATAGATGTCTTGGCAACAGCTTTGTTAGGTAGGTGGGCATTAATTCTGTTTTACAAACGAGAAAACTAGGACTCAAACCAATTAAGTAATTTGCCTAAAGTTACATAGCTAGTAACTGGTGAGCTATAATTAAAATCTAGGCTTGCCTGATTCCAAAACTCCTGCATTTTATTTTATTTTATTTTTTTTGTTTATTTATTTTTGAGACAGAGAGAGACAGAGCATGAACGGAGAGGGTCAGAGAGAGGGAGACACGGAATCCGAAACAGGCTCCAGGCTCCGAGCTGTCAGCACAGAGCCCGACGCGGGGCTCAAACTCACGGACCGTGAGATCATGACCTGAGCCGAAGTGGGCCGCTTAACTGACTGAGCCACCCAGGCGCCCCAAAACTCCTGCATTTTAAATTAGGCATATACTGCCCCAGTTCATGTTTACTTAAACCATAAAGTTGCACTAATTGCTTTTATCATTAAACTACCCTATAGGGTGTAAGTTCTACTACAGTTCTGTGAAACACACTGCTAAATCCACCATGCACAGGGAGAGCTTGGGATGAATCTGCGATAGTGGCAAAAATATAACATCTGCATGTGACTAACCAGCCAGGTTGCTCTCCCCACTGTATTGAGTCATGGGAAAGAGTCTGCATTTTACAAATGTTTCATTCATCCATTCCACAAATATTTGAAGCACCTACTGTGTTCTTTGAGGGATGAAAAAAATTAGGAGAATGACTCCTGCTTTCAAGGAGCTTTCAATCTAGCAGAGTTGATAAAAATCTAGACAATCCTAAAACAAAGGAGAAGGTGGGTGAGCTCATACAAAACATAAAAACAAAACCAAAAATAAAACTTTGGAGTTGCGAGCACAGAATGTGTCCCTAACTGAAGCATCGTAAAAATGGTCCCTGAAGAAGGTGTCAGTTGAACTGAGCCTTGAGGATTATAAAGCTTCTGAAAGTACCATTTCTCAGTTCAAGAGTGGTACAGGACTGGGGCACCTGGGTGGCTTAGTCAGTTAACTGTCTGACGTTGGTTCGGATCATGATCCCACTATTCATAGGTTCGAGCCCTGCATCAGGCTCTGTGCTGACAGCTCAGAGCCTGAAGCCTATGTAGGATTCTGTGTCTCCCTCTCTCTGCCCCTCCCCTCCCTCGCACTCTGTCTCTCTCTGTCTCTCAAAAATAAATAAAATGTTAAAAAAAAGTAAAA